CTCCCGGCAATTTTGATTCCAGCTTGTGCTTCATCCAGCCTGGCATTTCGCATCATGTACTCTGCATGTAAGTTAAATAAGCAGGGTGACAATATACAGCCTTGATGTACTCCTTTCCTGATTTGGAACCAGACTATTAATAAAAACAAAGCAACCAAGGGATGCTTAACTTCGTTGTTTGGATGAAATGGGATTTTGCTATAGCTGGATGGGATCCCTGTTGGATTACTAGACCCTGTTTCATGACAGATTAGTAGGTAATCTGCTGCTAAAACTTCAATTAAAAAATGGGAGGATATGGTGTATATGGCGTCGCCTGGAACCTGAGAGGCTACACGAGGGTGTCAGAGGCCTGGTGAGAGACAATGGCTAAGAACAAACTCAGAGGGCAGAAGTCCAGGACTGTATTCCACATAGCCAGCCAGAGAAGCTGGAAGGTTAAAAATAAAGCAAACCAGTTACCACTAATCTTAAGAGGATAAACATTGTGAATGATGAAAAAGTTAACAGGGTGAATAAAGCGTTTATAGATATACAGAAGGAACTGGCAAACTTCTCAAAAGGCCTTTCCCTTGAACCTCTGCAGAAACAACTGATATCTCAGCAGTGTCATGAAAACGTACCAGTTAATGTTGATGAGGCTACAAGATTAATGGCTCAGTTGTAATACACCAATGATGCATCAAATTCCCCAAAAAGACTAATAAACTTAATCTTTTATAAAAAAAAAAAAAAAGGAGGATAAGACAGACGGCAAAGAATCAAATGCAGATGAGAATCCTCCTGATTCTTTTGACTTAGTGCCAGTGGGAGGAATGCCTAAAACAAAGATTGCCTTTTCTGCCGGAACTGCCATGTTCCAGTAATTCGCCAAAATGACCAACACAAAGGGAAAGAGGAGGGGCACCCACTACATGTTCTCTAGGCCTTTTAGAAAACATGGAGTTGTTCCTTTGGCCACATACATGCAAATCTACAAGAAGGGTGATATTGTAGATATCAAGGGAATGGGTACTGTTCAAAAAGGAATGCCCCACAAATGTTACCATGGCAAAACTGGGAGAGTCTACAATGTTACCCAGCATGCTGTTGGCATCATTGTAAACAAACAAGTTAAGGGCAAGATTCTTGCCAAGAGAATTAATGTGCGTATAGAGCATATTAAGCACTCTAAGAGCCGAGATAGCTTCCTAAAACGTGTGAAGGAAAATGATCAGAAAAAGAAGAAAGCCAAAGAGAAAGGGACTTGGGTTCAGCTGAAGTGCCAGCCTGCTCCACCCAGAGAAGCACACTTTGTAAGGACCAATGGAAAGGAACCTGAACTGTTGGAACCCATTCCCTATGAATTCATGGCATGAAGCATGTAAAAATAAAGACGTGGACTGTAAAAAAAAAAAAAAAACACAAAGATTGCATAACTGTTTCTCCTCAAAAGGACATTTAGCCTCATTGTAACAGATTAATGTATAAATGCTATGGTTATTAAAGAAACAGTAAGCTACTTCTAATGTTCATAATTCTAAAAGGTGTAATATATGGAATATTACTCAGCCATTAAAAAGAATTCATTTGAATCAGTTCTAATGAGATGGATGAAGCTGGAGCCCATTATACAGAGTGAAATAAGCCAGAAAGATAAAGACCATTATAGTATACTAACACATATATATGGAATTTAGAAAGATGGTAATGATAACCCTATATGCAAAACAGAAAAAGAGACATAGATGTACAGAACAGACTTTTGGACTCTGTGGGAGAAGGCGAGGGTGGGATGTTTCAAGAGAACAGCATCGAAACATGTATATTATCTAGGGTGAAACAGATCACCAGCCCAGGTTGGATGCATGAGACAAGTGCTTGGACCTGGTGCACTGGGAAGACCCAGAGGGATCAGGTAGAGAGGGAGGTGGGAGGGGGGATCGGGACGGGAACACATGTAAATCCATGGCTGATTCATGTCAATGTATGACAAAAGCCACTACAATATTGTAAAGTAATTAGCCTCCAACTAATAAAAATAAATGAAAAAAAAAACGAAGCTCATGGAAAAAAAAATAATAATTCTAAAAAGGTGTAATATCTTCACTGCAGGCTTCTTGCTACATGAATAAATAAATAAAGAACACGGAGCCTCCATTTTCAGTGCCATGTTTCCATTCCATGTAAGAATACTGATGACATTCATTGTATTCTGTTGTTAGTTTTATAAGATGTTTCTTCAAAATCTTCATACATTTGTAGTGGCCTTGGATTTATTAACATGGTAGAATTGGTTGTGTTATCCTAATGAATTTTGATGAGTGATTTGGGGAATTAATTCTTTTTTAATATATAGGGTAACTGTTAGTAGTTTTTGGTAATGCAACAGCTATGGCTACTAAGCAGGATGCTGAGGTTTGAGTTAAAAATTGTCTTAGGTATATTTCCTTTCTGTAATGATGGAAATACAGGGTAAAATCACAATACAAGATTTGTTCACATTCACTAAATGATTACAATCAAGATCAAAATATTAACAGCAATGTAGAAAACTGGAAACCTTCCACTTTGCTTGTGGATATTGAAAATAGTACAGACTATATGTACAATAGTTTGGCATTTCCTCAGAAAGATAAAAATATACTTACTGTTTACTTCACCAATTCCACTCTTGGATATATACATCAATGAACTGAAAACACATGTTCAAACAACAACTGGTACACAAACATTCATAGCAACATTATTCACAACAGCCCAAAGGTAGAATCCATTCAACTATCCATCAGTGGACAAATTAATATGCAAAATAGGGTACAAGCAAAAGCTTCAACAATATTCTACCATACAAAAAATACAGTGAAATGGTGCAGACACTATGCAAGACATTAAAGAAATTCCTCAAAAACTAACAAATGGAATTAACATATAATATGTCAATTCTAATTCAGGTTATGTACCCAAAAGATTTGAGAAAACATGCTGAAAAAAATAAACATATTTCTACACTCATATTCACAACAGCATTATTCACACTGGCCAACAAACAGAAGGAATCCAAGTGTCCATGGACAGACAATTCCATAAACAAACTGTGGTATACACACAGTGGAATACGATTCAGCCTTTAAAAGTAGGTACTTCTGACAATGTGGATGAACCTTATAGTCATTATGTTAAGTGAAACAAACCAGACCAAAACAGGACAAACATTCTGTGATTCCGCTAGTATGAGATAGTGGAATCAACTCAAAGCAAGTCAAATTCAAAGACAGAACAGGGATTGAAAAGAGCTGATGTTTCATGGACACAGTTTCATTTGGGGAAACTGACTTCCCATGACATCTCCAAAACCTGTTACATAAATAACTGGAAACCATATGCAATCGAATGAAAGTAGAAAGAAACTGTACAATTAACACCAAATTCACTCAAACTTCTCAACAGACAAAATGCGAAGCTGTATCTACAGTACCTGTTTTGCTTATGAATTTTAACAAAAAAACTAAAGTCTATCCAAAAAAGGATATAAAATTTATAACATGACCTTTAAAAAATCAAAGATTTAAACTCATAAAAGACCTTATTAAGAAAACCTAAATACAAGCCACGAACAGAGAAATACATTTACAAAATATGTATCTGATAAATGCTTGTACTCAAACAATACCAAAAAATCCAGAACAAACAACCTCATTAAAGATGTATAAATGTGAACACCCTGCCAAAGAAAACAGATAGTAGACAAACATATCAAAAATACTAAAAAATCATATTTCATTAGGAAATTACAAATTAAAACTACAGTGAAGTACCATTGCACACCTATTAGAACCAGTAAACTCAAAAAAAAAAAACAAAAAAAAACCCAGGGGCTTCCTTGGTGGCTCAGTGGTAAAGAATCCACCTGACAATCTGAGACTCACCCTCAACCCCTTAGCCAGGAAGATCCCACACGCCACGGAGCAACTTAGCTGTTTTTTCCCAAAGCTAGACAAGGTTCACCTGAGGATTGAACATTGCATGTCTAGTATTTAGAAAAGGACTCTGAAAAAGTATCCAAACAAAAACTATCATGCAATCATGCGGAGCAGCTCTACTTGTAATAGCTATAAGCTTTCAAATATCAGGATGTCTTCCATAGATGACTGTAAGGAAACGGATACATCCAAAGTGAGGCGGGGCAAATGCTACCCCAAAATACACCTCTTCAGCATGACAATTATTTGGAGCTAAGCTTCTTTTAAGAGGACACATGATCATCTTTGAAACCCAAGTCAAGATGGTTCTTCAGTGAGTCACATTTACAAGAGAAATCTCCACTTCAAAGGAAGTCTCTATACCAGATAAAAGGAAGACAGTCTAGAGAAACTATTGATAGGAAAGGCTAAGACATAAATCTGCACAACAACCACACCCTTCCTTTCTTGTTTTAATTTTTTTAATATTTATTTTTTTGTTTATGTGGCTGCACTGGGTTGACTTTCCTTAAGGCAAGCCGGATATTTAGCTGCGGCATGCGAACTCTTGGCTGTGGCATGTGAGATCTAGTTTCCTGACCACAGATTGAACCTGGGCCCCCTTCTTTGGGAGGGCAGAGTCTTAGCCCCTGGACCAGCAGGGAAGTCTCTGTTTTGTTTTTAGATGAAGACGGTATCTAAGGTGATATCCTGGGCCATTTCAAGCACTGACTCAATTTCCTGGATTTCTCCAAAGCACACACAAGGCACACATGTTACTAAACTGGTCTGCACAAATGAAGGTAGTTCATACCACAACACTGTATGCTTACAATGATTTACATGGTAAATGGCATGTTGTCTATTTTTAATTACAATGGGAAAAGAAGAATGCAGTATTGATACATGTTATAACATGAATAAATATGACAAAAATCTTTAGTAAAAAACATCCATACAGAAAAGGCCACCCAGATCACATATTCCCCTTGACTGCTTTAAATCCTCAAGGTTGTCCAAATGACTGAAAATTTCAGTAACACTCCAAACCAAAATTAGATGAGGATGGAAAAAAGATACATTCATACACTTGGACAATTGCTGAAAGTAGAAGTAGGCCTGTGAATTACATTTCAACGTGGAAACCATGTGATTTCCTGATTTCAGGGGTTATGTGCTGGTTCCAGAGAAGAATGCGCCCATTTTGGATAAACCACATAGAGTATTTTAGGTGATGTGGTAATGTACTTTTTACCATTATTAGGAGTTTTTGGTCCATTTTAAATTGAGTGGGATTCATACTATTAGTGTTAGATATTTTTCCGCTTCTTTATACAAAATTAAAAGGCGCTTTCTCTTAAAATTCTGTGTTGCCATGAAAATACCTGGTTCCACCCAAACTTAACTTTTCTCAAACCTTGAGCTAACCAATGGGTTTTAAAGATCTTCACGACCCAGATAATCACAATGGTGTGATCATTCACCTAGAGTCAGACATTCTGGAATGTGAAGTCAAGTGGACCTTAAGAAGCATCACTACAAACAAACCTTGTGGAGGTGATGGAATTTCACTTGAGCTATTTCCAATCCTAAAAGATGATGCTGTGAAAGTGCTGAACTCAGTATGCCAGCAAATTTGGAAAACTCAGCAGTGGCCACAGGACTGGAAAAGGTCAGTTTTCTTTCCAATCCCAAAGAAAGGCAATCACAAAGAATGCTCAAACGACCGCACAATTGGACTCATCTCACACACTAGCAAAATAATGCTTAAAATTCTCCAAGCCAGGCTTCAGCAATATGTGAACTGTGAACTTCCAGATACTCAATCTGACACCAGTAGTGTGTTTCCTCCTGCCACTTAAGAGAGAGAGAAAAAATGTCCGACACTTGCAGCCTATTTCCTCCAGTTGGAAATAGTCACTCTCTCAAAAGCAAACTACAAAATCCATAAGAACTTTAAAGAAACTGGGGCTCTGTGAAAGGCTGCTTTAGGCTATGCTCTTAAAATCACTGCCTTTGCCAACAGGTGAGAGCAAAGACTCAGTCTCCGCACCGTTGACAGTTAATCATGCTCATTCTTCATTGTAGCTGGTGGGGAGCAGGGGGAGAGGCAGAGGGCTGTCCTCTGCATTAAAAGTTTAGCATCCTTGGCTTCCACCCACTAGATGCTGGTAGTGAATACCAAAATGCCTCCAACTGTGCCAAATGTGCCAAAAGTTTAATAATGCAGAGAGAATTCAAAGTGGAGTTGTACCACATATTAAATTTCATCAAAATGCACTTGCCTTAAAAAAACGAAGGGGGAGAAAAAGAAAAGAGCAGAGGGGAGGAGAGGCAGAGAAGGTAATTCCAGCCTAAACCAGATCAACATGGAGGGCAGGCGGACAGTCTGTCTCTTCCAAGCATGTGCTGCAGAGTAAGGGCGGGAGCCCCCAGCAGGCAGCCCACACTGAGCAGTGCATGCTCCTGGACCGTCTCCTCCCTCATCTCTGGATGACCTCCCCAACCCACTTGGGGTTTTGGTTCTTCTTTACTACTTACTCCCTGGATAAAATTCCCTCTAGTGAACTGCCCAGCATGTCAGAATCTGCCTGACTTAGTCCCAAATGACACAGTGCATCTGTCAGGACCATAAGTTAACTAGGGGAAAATCGACAATGCTGTGATGCTGTCTTTTTCTCCATTGGTCATATTTTCATCTGTGTCCCTCCCCAGAATTTCAAAGTCCTACTTCGTTCTTTTGTTTGATTGTTTGCTTGTTTGTTTGTTTGTTGTGTTTCTTCTTACGTATCTTGTCTTCCTTGTGGCTGGTATGAACGGTACTGCTACACAGGACGGCTGTAAGGATGCAGTGAATGACAATGTAAGGTATTCAGAGTGGTCCCTGCTTCACACTAAATGCTCTAGAAGTGTATGCTGTGATTATCATCCTCATTTCTCACTTGTACCCTCCAGCTGATTGTTTGAATGTGAGTCACAGTTGTTCTGTTTAAGTTTCATCCCAGCTGTGGTTCAGGTGAAGCTGGGGGGGCAGAACTGGATCTGGGGTGTCGTTTTAACAGGACAGTGTGGTGTACCAGTAACAGACCCATCCCACAGTCAGCTCTCAGCCCTCTTATACATGCCCCTTGCCCACTCAACTGCCCCCAGAACTAGGGTCTTCTCTTTTGTGGCCCATCTTTCCCAGAAGTCAAGGACTATTTGCTGCTGATACCCAATCATTAGAAGCAAGAATATAATTATTATCGCCTTTATAAACACACACACACAAACAGCCTAGGGAAAGAATTTTAAAATTTCTAGCAATCAAAATATTCCTGTGGGTTAAGTTTTACAGTCCAAAACAAAACTAATGGTTGCTGCTGACTCTTCAGAAACAGGCTGATACTGCTCTCTGTGTATCAGTGAGCAAAGCCACATAACAAACTTCCCCAAAACTCGGTAGTTTAAAGCAACAACCACTTAACTCTGATTGTGGGTCTACAGGTCAGCTGGGTTGCTCTGCCAACCAGGGCCATCCTTGGTGAATCTCAGGTGGCCTCACTCATGCATCTGTGGTCAGCTGGAGGGTGAGCCACAGACCGCCGGGTCTAGGGTGGCCTCCCACGTGGGGTCAGTCTTAGCTGTGGCAGCGAACCTGACCAGGCTGTCTGTCATCACCTGCACGCTAACTCAGGTTGGTCCCCATGGTCTCTGAGGGAAAGCGGACACAGGTTGGGCTCCTTGAGACTCATGCTTAGAATCGACCCAGCACCACTGCCCACCACATCCTGTTTGCTGAAGCAAGGCAGGAAGCCAACCCAGTCTCAAGGGTGGGAAACAGGCCCCTCCTCTTGGTGGGCAGGGCTACAAACTATGATATAAAGGGGTCATGAACACAGAGAAAGCCTGACAGGTTCGAGTTACAACCAGTCTCCCTACATCAAGGTGAGAATGCTTTCAGCATTGGTTTCCTTTTAGCAAAGGTTGCCTGTCTCACTAGCAGCCCACCTATGGGCTGGTTCAGGGGAAGGTTCCCCAGCGGGTAGCCTCACTCACTGATGCTGATTCATGTCTGTTTCACTTTCCAAGGGCCCCATCCTTGACACTGAGCCCAAATCTGAGCCTGCTTGAGAGGGTGAGCCTTGCACCCTCTCAGTTGTAAAGATGCTACGGTTCCCTCTGGGTCTTGGTTTCTGCGGGCAGTTGCCAGTTTGGATGGAGTTTTCCAAGACAGATTTACCAAGACACTGAGGACACTTCCCAGCTAGTGGCTGAATCAATCTTTGTTGGTGTATCGACTCAGTCAGTCACAGGCTAATTAACTCCAAGTCCTATAAGAAGTAATCAAAATGTCACTTCTCACTGTCAGGAGGCAGGAGACCTTGGAGGTGATTCAAACATCTCTTTTCCTCTGGCGTGTGTGCGTGCTCAACTGCTAAGACTGTCCTACTCTTTCCGACCCCATGGACTGCAGACCTCCGGGCTCCTCTGTCCATGGGATTTTCCAGGCAAGAATACTGGAGTGGGTTGTCATGCACTCCTCCAGGGGATCTTCCCAACCCAAGAGATCAGATCAGTATCATATACATATATATATATAATCTGTAAGTAAATGTGTATTTTAATACTCACAATATCTACATATATATATGTAAACTATACATGATACCTATAAAACAGAAGCTATATACACATAGCTAAGTATAAATTTACAGGTACATTTGCATTTTTGCTGGAAAAATGCCTGAAAGAATATGTAAGAATTACATGCAGAGGGATTTGTTTTTTCATTTTCCTTTCCATATCCTTTGACTTTTTACCATGAGGATTATCAATGTTTACAAAGCAGTCCATTTGTCAGTTTTAAGGAGATTCTTCTAGTCTTTCCCACCTTGTTATTCCCAGATTCAATTGTAAATTGAGATGACTTTATATTGAATCCTTCCTGAAAAGAAAACTTCTCAGGGTGCCTGTCCAGAAGGACAGTGGTTTTCAAGGACAGATAGAAACCAAGCCAGTCCTTGGTTCAACTGCTTAAGAGGCCAGGCGGACCCCCCTGCAGCCCGTGCATCCCCCTCTGTCCCCCACCCCCAGGGCCGCGGGGGCAAAGGCAGCATCTACGGGTGGGCCTCGGGCGACTGCGGCAGCTAGGAGGACTGCAACTGCGACTGCGACGGCTACGCATCGAGCATGTGGACCATCTCCATCAACTCCGGCCATCAACCATCAATGACGGCAGGACCGCGCTCTACGACGAGAGCTGCTCCTCCACACTGGCCTCCACCTTCAGCAATGGGCGCAAGTGGAACCCCGAGGCCAGGCCGGCGTGGTGAGTGCGGGCCAGGGGTGCGCGAGGACATTAGTGACGTCATACGCAGATACAGTGACGTCATGGAAGGAGGGCCCTCCTTCAGAGAGTCAGCCCCTGTTCCGAGGGGAGATGCCCCCCTCTTCTAGGCTGGTGATGCTTTGTTATCAAAGTCGAGGCCTCACGAAAAACAAAAACGCCATGACCTCCTTCCCGCTCATGGTCCACAGATTTTCCTGTTCATTGTTCTGGCTCACAAACAATGATGAACTCTAGTTTACCAAGACGTTGCCCTAGCATGTTGCTTCTAAGGTAACTGGAGCATCACATCTGCACCCCATCTCAGCCAAGAGCACATCCATTTATTAGTGTAATTGAGAAATGGCATCCACGGATGGACTTTTCCCGGTCCCTAGACCTCCCCAGAAGTGGGCACTTGTGTGTTTTTGCAAAGGAAGAGTAGTATGTTTCATAATATTTTAAACTGGGTCCACAATTGAGAAAACCAAAAGATTAAGAATCATGGACATTTATTGCACTCTTCTGAGCAACTCTTCCTTCCTGGGCACCTAGGTTGAATAGTGAATTTTCCAAGTCCGCTAGGCATACAGCCTTTCCTCAGTCCTCCAAGTCAGGAATTTAGTGGGTGGCTCAGTAGTCCTGCTGGGCTGCATCCTGCTTGGTCACCACCTCCCCCAGGGTTGGGGAAAAGTCAGGAACAAGAATGCAGTCATCAGTACCAGCTAGCCCTTCGGTCCCAAGGTCCTGCCCGGGCTCCACCCAACCAGCTCTCACATGAGCTGGCAGAAGTCCCCTCCTTCAA